CCCCAAAACCCCAAAACCCCAAAACCCCAAAACCCCTTCGGATTCAAATTATTTGAAATTATAAAATAAAATATAAAAAAGGTAATTTGCCTCTCGACTTGGTTTGCACTGTTGAGAAGAAGGTTTCAGTATAGAGAGATTCTCTATCTGGAGATCATTTAGTAACAATATTAATGAATTAATTATGAGCTATAGGGAGCAGAAAGAAATGAAAACTAATTGTTCAAGAATCTCAAAGGTAACTAATATTTGCAATTGTTGAGAGAAAGAAGAGTTAGATTATGAAAAAGCCACCATTGTTAAATCTATGTGCCTAAATGAAATAAATCTAACACCAACAAATATTTTTCGTTAAATATCATAAAATCCGCGATAAAACTAGAGAATAGCTTAAATCATTCTGTTATAAATAACAAAGCAAATATATAATTAATGTATCAAGCATTTAGAGCTTTGAGATTATATCATATACTAATGCCCAATTACATCATCTAAAGTCTTAATTTCTCCAAATCCATTTCAAGCGTTCTCTTTTTCTTTACCACATAATCAATCTCTGTCTTCTTAGTACCAAAAATTTTGATAAATCATCCCTTCAAGTCGGACATTTCTTGATTCCTAATTGAATTTCTACACAATCTTCCTTAGGTAATAAAGATGATTGCTCCAAAATAAATGGTACCTGAAGGCTGCAGGAGTCCTAATAGAGCAGTTTAATAAACCTTAGCTGTTTTTGGGTCTTTTAGAACTTTAGTGATTAAACAAATTCTAGCAAAAAGACTTTTGATTAAGGCAATTTAGGTATCAAATGACCCAAATTATACCTTGAACTCGATAAAGAATGAGGTCGAGACTGCTACGAAGATCATGAATCAAGGTCTCAGAAGGTATATCTGTTCATAACTTTGTAGAGAACTAGAATATCAACCCTTGGCTCTGCTCAATATTAGAAAAAAGATTGAAAAACAGCAGAAGAACGGAAAGAAAATTTTAACTAAGGTTACTTGGCCTTATTTAAGAGAACATCAGGGTGATCCTTCTGATGAAGATATTGAGGCAAGCAAGTTAGATCTAATAGATTCTACGACTATCTTAGGAAAGCAGATAAATGATGGTGTCAAACTGTTGATATGCATTACTCTCTATAATGAGCCATATTACCAATTAATCGAAAGTCTCATCGGGGTCTATAGAAACTACTTCGAGCTCTGCAAATAAAGATAAATCTTACGAAAATCAGGTTTCTATTGTCATTATTGCAGATGGTTTTGATACATTTGACTCTGTTAAGACAGGAGATATGAAATTGTCCGAACAACTCGCAAAAGCTGGAATTTACGATGAAACTAAAATGATTCCTAAGTAAGGCTAACCTATAAAATTTAGTTATCTAGCAATTGATAAAGATGGAAAATAAGATTAAGAAAGAACCTGTAGCTCTAAGTTTTATGAGCAAAATCAAAAATATTATGGCAGAAGGAGATAATGTCCTAAATATGAATTTTGATACCCATAATCTAATCCATTGCTTTTCGAAATTGATGACGTTTGAACAGTTCTTTCAAGGATTAGATGAACATACTCAAAAATATATGCAGGTGGATGGATACCATCCTCTTCATTATCTTTATGGAGATATTTTAAAAGGAGCTGTGAAAAATAAGATTTTTTCATCTTTGCCTCTCAATGTGCATTTTGCTGTAAAACACTTCAACAGAGGAAAAATAGAATCTCATCTGTGGTATTTCAAAGGATTCTGACAAGCTATTAATCCTAAGTATTGTCATATTCTTGATGCAGGTACGATAGCAACACCTAAATCATTTTCGACAATTACATTATACATGGATTGACATAAGCAAGTTGGAGGAGCCTGAGGTGAAATCGAGGTTATACTTCCAACTTATAATGAAGATGGTACACCAATCTCTTTTGTTAAAAGTTTCCTTCTCAGAGCACAGTACGTTGAATACAAGCTGAGTCACTATGTTGACAAAGCTGCTGAGTCTCTATTTGGATTTGTCTCTGTCCTCCCTGGAGCATTCTCTTGATTCAGATTTAAGGCTATAAAAGGTGAGCCTTTGGATCGTTTCTTGCAAGGTAAAACTCTCACTGATCCGAATAATGATTCCTATCCTGATTGCTATCTTGCAAACCAGTTCCTTGCTGAAGACAGGATAATGTGCTTAGAGATCATAGCTAAGGAGAATGACAACAATATCATTAAGTACGTTCCTGGGTGTAAAGCCTTAACAGATGCTCCCTCCTCATTAAGTAGTTTTATTAAGCAGAGGAGAAGATGGTTTAATGGCTCTACATTTGCTTCATTTCATGTGATCAAGAATATGTGCAGAACTTGGAAAAGAGACAACTCATGATTAAGAAATCTTTTCTTTATGATCTTATATGTTTATATGCTCTCAAATGTTCTATTAGGATTTATATTGGTTGGTCTTTATTATGCTGCATTTAGTATCTTTTTAAGGTCAGTTTTGCCATCAGATGATTGAATTAGTGTTTCTGACGCAGCTAATGTTCTGGAGAATCTTTATCTTGTGTTCTTGTTTTTCTGATTCATTATTTGTACTGCAGTAAAAATCCAATGGGCAGAGATACATTTCAGAATTTGATCATTCATTATGGGACTTTTCTCGCTTTTGATGTTCATAACTCTGATAGCAGGAATAGTACAAGAAGATATAAGTGGACTAAGTCTAATATTTATTGCTATTGTTGTTCTTGTTATAATCGTGCCTCTTATTCTTCATCTTCCTCAGCTAAAACTGTTGGACTTTATTAAAGGAACTTTGTACTCATTCTTCTTGATTCCTACTTACATCAATATCATGATTATTTTTGCTATCTCAAATATCCATGACGTTTCTTGGGGATCAAGGCCGAAAGGGGCTGACATTACAATTTCCTCTCTAAAAAAGATGAACATGACTAATGATTATGAAAATTTCAGGTCAAGATTCCTTTTGTTTTGGGTGCTTATCAATGCAACTGCTGGATGGTCAGTTGTCTATCTCTCACGTGAAGGCCAAGATATTTACCTTGCAATAGTATCAGGAATTCTTGCAGGCGTTGTAGGACTTAAGTTTCTTCTTTCTTTATTGCATGTTATCCAATCTACATATAATAATTGGAAAGTGAAAAGATATCTTAAGAGAGAAGGGAAAGAAGAGAGAATCTTTATTCCTGACCCAGAAGAAACTCACTTACTTTTTAACCCATTCCAAAAGAAAACACATAGCATCAGTAATCCAACCATAGAGACAGCTTTAGAAGGAATGGAAGCTCTAGTATCTCTATCTGAAAATGATAAAAGCACTTTTCAGACTCCAGATTCACCAAAATCCCAAAGCGAAGAGACATCTAGGCCTAAATCGAGTAGGAGCTATTCACGAAACCACCTCAAACTTCTAATAATTTTCTTTGATCCCTAATTTTTACTTTTTACTCTTAAAATGAAGATCTCTAATAAATATAGGAAATATAAAAAGGCCTCAAATCCAAGAAGATTCATCAGACGAGGAAGAAAAGAAGCACAATCCTTTCCAAAGAATTCCTCACAGAAGAGATAAGATCAAATCTACCCCAAAACAAAACAGCACTTTCCAAAACTCTGCAGAAGACTCTTCAAGAGAGATTTCCAGAGAGCACAGAAGCCATTCCCACAGTCTCGAAGAAAACAAAGATTCCAGCAACACAAGAGTAACTCTCCCCCTATAACCCACAGCTACCCATCCTCCGGCACCCTACCGACACATTCGACTCAAGAACCTCCTTCTCAACCCCTCTAACAGACAGTGACTAATACCCTAAAATCTTCCTTCTCGCCTAAAACCTCTGGCTCTAAGTCCTTAACCCTAGCTCACCTGGCTGGCTCTCTAGTTGAAAAGTTACTTAAGAGGGAAGATTTTAGAAGGAATGGGCGGGTAGAGGAAGAACGAATTTTTGGGAAATTTGGGAATTAAGGAGGAATTGGGAGATTTGGGGTGAAAGTCAATTTTTGGGGATTTAGACGGGGTTTTGGGGTTTTGGGGTTTTGGGGTTTTGGGG